TGTTTTTAATCTTCGTTCCCTTTGTCGAGTTTGTCCATCCCCCTCCTAGTGTTGACGTCCATGTTGACGTCGAGTGAGCTAGTAGCATAAACGCAAGGATCGTTTTATTCTTCCATAGCTGAACCAATCGAAGTTAATAATTTTGGTTCGAATCCCTTGCAGGATACACTATGAAAATCTTGAATACTGATAAAACTAAGTTGAAAAGTAATTTTAAAAAAATATGTATCAGTACATTTGGTCACCGTAATATTATATAATAATATATCTTTTACTTTCGAACCATATTCTTTTGTTTATACATTTTCGGTGGTTATATGTATGACACTAAGAAACTTTCCAATGTCTGATATATATTGTTTACAGATTTAGAGTGTCTAAATTTCTGAGGAGGAAATAACAGTTTTTGCTTTGAAATTAGTAGATAACATTCTTTCAAACTTCTTATCGGAACTCTTTTCTCTCCACAATACTGGCCATTGAGCCCAGGTGTTTTTTATTTTTAAGTTACTGCAGAATAAACGTGATGAATGATTGCGTACTGGGGCGAAAATCGAGAGATGGAAGATGTGTAACAGTGGGTGGAGTTTACGTTTCTTAGCCTCGGTCTTCCATATCCTTATATCTTCAGGTTGAAGTCTCGGCTTTGTTATTGTTATGAAATTTGGCAAGTACTTAAGAAAATCTTTGCCAGAAAACAAGGCTGTACTTGGGTAAATTTTATTTTATCTTTAGCTTGAGGGAATATATTTGGGATTATTCTGACTGGATTCATACACGTTAGCAGTAGGAATAAGTTCACTTGCATTTGATTCTACTTTAATACAGTGTCTTAAGTCTTTTGTAAAGAATCATCTGAGGAAAACAGAAATGTCGATTCACTTGTTTTAATGATGTCAGCATCCCTAGTACATTCGCGCTTTAATCTTGCCCCGGTCATGCCGCGGTCGTGAAGTTTTCGCGTTCCGCGAATAATTGGCGATCGCGCAGCGAAAATTTTCCCACGTCGCGTTCACGCTCCAGGTCTAGTTGCGCTCGCGGTTCAGATTATGCGACGATCGCGATTCAAAACATATCGCGCAATGTTGGTGATTTTCATCAGATTGTATCGCGTTCGCGGTTCAGATTAGATCGTATTGTGTTAGCGGTTCCGTTTAGATCATATCGCGTTCCTGGTTTGGATCGCGGCGAGTTCGCGATTCGGATAAAATATTTATATGCGTTTATATGAAGCATGCATGTTTCTTCCTTGCTTCTTCCAAACATCTTATAAAAATGAATGAAAAAACATTTGTTTCTAAGTTAAAGAAAGACAGAAGAAGGAGATATTTATCGTTCGATGTTTTTAATTTCGCCTATGCGTATATTCCACGTGCATTTTGTTCTATGTAAACTTCTAACAAAGAAAAACATGCTTGATAGAAACGCATATATATACGTATCTAACATTTTTAAAACTGAAAGAGTTTATATAGTACACATAGACAGCCACGTGTGTGATGACGCTACAAAGCTTTTCGTCTACAAAGCTTTTTAGAACGCATTTTAAATGAGACGAAAAGCTTCGTAGCGCAGGTATGTAAGCTTTGGCAAGATTAAAGCGCGAATGTACTACGGATGCTGACAACATTAAAACAAGTGAATCGGCATTTCTGTTTTTTTCAGATGATTCTTTACAAAAGACTTAAGACACTGTATTAAAGTAGAATCAAATGCAAGTGAACTTATTCCTACTGCTAACGTGTATGAATCCACTCGGAATAATCCCAACTATATTCCCTCAAGCTATAGATAAAATAAAAGGAGGGGGACCGCTTTTCATTGATTTCGACCCACTGCTTTTTCGACTTCGTCATGCTCACATATTGTAGAGAAAACGAATTTACACATTTTGAACCGCATATCAACCATTATAACATTATCGAAACTTCTTAAAATAACTTTTCTGAGGAGGTACGTGAAGCATATCGGTGCTTAACAAAAACGATCTTGCTCAAAATCTAATATAACGTTACGGTAAAGCTTAATATAGAAAAATAGCCCTTGAAAATCTCTACAATATTCTGACTAAACAAACCCTACGTATCATTCGCTCAATCCTTTAGAGGTCAAATACGAGCCCAAGGTGATCTAAAAGTGAACACAGTTGATGTTTTAGCCAATTTACTCCCATAGATAAGGGAGAATGCAACTAGTCTTTAGTACAGAAAGATAGCTCTTGAAAACCTCTGCAATATCTGTTAATAGGAAACTTAACGAAGCCTGGCAGCAGGTTTTATGAGTTTAATACTAGACTTTTCCATGGGTCGTGGCAATGCCAAGGGAAATCCTGATCACTTTTCTCTATGAAAACTAAAGAGGATATCTAACCATTCATGCATCATTCGATGCGCCTTGAGAAGCTCTATAACATTTGTTAATAGGAAACTTAACGAAGCTTGACAGCGGCTTTTGTGTATTAAATACTTTGCCACTTAATCTCATAGTAGATCTAAAAATTGTTCGCCACCTTTAGTTTTCATTTTTGTCGTCGACCATAATAGCTAGAATAAATTTAGAAAAGGATTTGAACAGCCGAAAGAATTTTCGATCTTAGGTGATGTACACAGACGTTCCATCAAAACTCTGAAATAGGGTTTTATCCATGGGGCAGCATTCAATTTATGCAAGACCCCATAGCAGCAAAAGTAACGGGAAAACACGAACAAACGCCCATACGACCTTCTATAAATTGAAGGCTGCTCCATGAATAAATATCACGTCAATATTTATCACGTGATATTTAAATATTACGTGATAAATATCAATGAAAAGCGGTCCCCCTCCTTTTATTTTATCTTTAGCTTGAGGGAATATAGCTGGGATTGTTCTGAGTGGATTCATACACGTTAGCAGTAGGAATAAGTTCACTTGCATTCAGGGCCGCAAACAGGAGCCGAACATTAGGGGGGTGTAAACCAAAATTTCTCCCTGAGGTAGTGTGAAATTGAGAAAAAAAAATGCGAATCTTTTAAAACAGTCATAGTACGAAAGCCGAAAAATATTTTTCGGCAAACAAGCAAAAGAATTTAAAAACTATTTAGTGACAATTTTAGTGTTGACACACCGAAAGTTCAATTCTCCTGTCTTTCATTTTACCCCAATCACTAGCTAAAGCAGCTAAATCTAATTGATCTAGTTTATCTTTCTCGGTGGCATATAACATTAAATGGAATAATCTTTCATTCGACATTGTTGTTCTAAGATAATTTTTGATAATTTTTAATTTCGAAAACGATCGTTCATTAGTAGCAATGGATACCGGAATTGTTAACAAATATTTAAAAACTAATTGTGCTCGTGGATATCGATTGTTTCTTTTCATTAAGTCACACGCTTCATTCATATCGATACAATTTGAAATTTTTAATTTCAATAAGTGAAGTTCAGAAAATAAAAGTCCACCATCATCGAGAGTTGGAACTATTTTTTGTAATTCTTTTGCATCATTCATTGAAAATAAATGAATAAACTTAGGTGATAAATGTGCAAACCATTTTAACTTTTCACTCAAAGCTGTTAAATAATCTTTAAATTCTTCATTCATATTGCTGATAATTCTAGAAAATATTGTACGAAAGTACTCTTGTCTATAAATGAAAGAAGAGAGGCAAACTTTACGATAAACGTCGCGTTCGTAAAGACTCCTACATTGATGCACATGTTTTCGTTCGTCGATGTAT